AATCTGATTAGAAGCTTTACTGCTGTTTAAAATGGAACAGCCTGAAGACCAGGAAATACAGTTCTCTGTAAAATATTCCTGCTGTAGCATCTGTATTGCTGACCCCAGGGGATCCTGCATTTGCTGCAGGCTGAAGCCGGTAGGCAGTTGTTTAAAAAAGTACATCCTGCAATTTTGCGCTGATGAATTTAAAATGATGTTCTAGCAAGCTCAGTACACTCCAAATTAATTAGAAAGGATCCTTTAAACAGGATAATTACTATATCAGCAAGTGGTAAACTCAAAATGAATGCGAGTAGTCCTGCCTTGCATCAACAAGGAAAAATATGTTGCAGTTCTATCAACTGATTCTAAATTCACCCTAGTGTGAAAGCTTTTAGACAGCGCAGCTCAGGAGCAGCAACACTCTAGCTGTTTTACCTCTATACTTCAATTAAAATCCCAAATACAGCCGCATTCAACTCTCTGTATGTTTACCTCACAATGCCATGGCAAATGATCACAGAATCATAGAATGGTGAGGGTTGGAAAGGACCTTAAGATCATCTAGTAAATTTCTGCTGGAAAAAGGCCCAAAAAAAGGAAAGCAGGAGGTGTTGCACATTATAACTAAATTATAAATGGTAGAAAGGGCTGTGATGTATATAAGACTTCCTTCGTTTACTCTCTGCATTTTCTTCTGTGATGGAAGTGCCAGATCCTGCATAGAACAGTAACAGCTCACAAGTATAAACACAGTTCATGTGTTTGGGGGATACAATTTTGAAATATGTTAATCTTTTAAAGAATAAACATATAATTGCTTATCAGGCTACGGATAAATAAGCATATGACTGCTGCAGTGGTGGCAGAAACCCTTTTATTAATTCCTGAAAGTAGATTCTCTTTTTAGATAGCCAAGGCTATAGAAACTAAGGTTTAATTGTGATTTTTTAATAAGGGAAGTTATCTCAATTAGGTCACTTCATGTTTGTCACATTTTTATGGCTCTTAGAATGGATGCAGAAATCTGTATTTTTAGGCAAACTTTCAAAAATCACTTATCTTACTTTTAGCTTCTATGAGATAAGCTCAACAAAGTTAATAGTCTTACACTGCTCTAAAGTGTGTTTTTGAGAGAAATTAATTTGGCCCTATGCTGTTCACTGGAAATGTGAAAGTAGTAAATCAGTAATTATCAGGCATTTCTTAAAAATGGATCTTGACATTCCACATACTAGACAGTTTCTCAAGTTTTATCATGGGACCTTGTGGTACTTCAAGGAATGTGAAGCACAAGCCTGAATCCTTTTGTCTAGCTTGTCTTCTCAAACTTAAGCACTGCCATTTTCTTTCTAGTTAAACTGCATGCTTGAGTCAGGCCATGTTTAACAATCATGTGAAATTGAGACATTTTAAAAACTTTTTTCAACTGCAGGCACAGTAAAGTGGGGGAAAAGTGCAAAAGTCTTTACAAACATTTTGGGTGTTGATTTTTTTTTTCTTTTTTTTGGGGGGGGGGGGATGTTCTAACTGGTTGGAACAGAAAGCAAGTACCTCTTTAGAAAATGCCTGAGACAAATGCTGTAGTCTTCTAATGATCTGTAAGGCTGCTTTTTTGTGTTCTGTAGTGGTAAGGTTTGGGTTACTCAGACCATGTAGGTCCTAAGAGTCCTGTGTATGCAGTGTAATGGTGCTGCATAGTTCTTAATTGAATCCAGCCAAGGATGAGGTAACGTTTGATGAAGATTTGCTTAAATTTCTTGAATGAGCAATGTTTAGATGTCACAGTAACAGTAGAAATCTGTCATCTCCCTTCACTTGCATGTCTGCGCAGTTGTCGCTGCTGAAGTTGCTCCCATACATGGTGAACATATTGTTCATCACACTCTAGTTATAGCCAGACCACTCAAGTAGAGCTAAGTGATTCTGTGCTTCCCATAATGGATAGACTTGTCCCTCTATACAAATACATGCAAGTACATACGTTAGCACAGTGCCACCAAAAATAACAGATTTTGTTAGTGTACCAGACCCTTCTTGCTACTACAAACTATGGCTACAAAATACCTCTGGATAATATAATAGGGAACTAGTCAAAACCCACCATGCAAATAGATTAAAAAAAAAAAAGGAAAAAAAAGGCCCATTTCTATGAGTTTGCTTCAGAACTTTCCCCTACAATTTAGAAGAAATTATTGATTTCTTAGTGGAAGTGATGATCTATGCACTGAAGGCATATTTTTTCACAGAAATAGTCTAAGCCCTTCTGAAGAAGCTGTGGGAAATGCAACCCCTTTCAAGTCGATAACTCTGCTACTTATCTTCTCATGGAGCTTGGGTTTCCTCTTTTGGAGGAAAAGCAACAAACTCTTTCATTTCGGTATCTTGGTCAGCAGTAGCATGAGTACTAGTTTTATAAGGCTCGCATGGGCAACAGCTGACTTCTCCTTTCCTGCTCTTCTGCAGAATGGTAGCACGGAAGTCTAATGTTATCACTGCCAAACGATACAATTGTAGAGTCACAACTAAGATATTCTTAGCTGTAAAAAACACCAGCATTTGATTGAATATTCTGAAGTGGCCCATCAGGATTGAACGTACAATGAAGAAAGGACCATCTTGTATGAAAAGGCTGACCCCAATGTTCCACAGTTCTGCACTGTACCTGCACAGCAGCAGGCTAGGGATCCGCCTAGTTGATGCAGTTGGTTTGCAGCCAATATGCTGTACTGGAAATAAAACACAGCTATGTTAAAACAACTTTTTAAAATCGAGCCAGGGTTGGCCTAAAGGGAAGTAAATGCATTCAACTATGAACAATTCAACATAAAGCATATCCAATTTCTGGAATTTGTTTCAGCAAAACACACTAAGCTTATCTTAAGCAGATACTTACATGGTCTGCCAAACAGGACCAAACCCGCTTCCCCTTTTCCATCCCACTAAGCTATCAGCATTTATACACTTTAAAACATTAAACAAAAGTAGATCACCTAATCATTCTGTAACAACTTTCCCAGGCATTTTTCTGTTAAATCAACATATTAGGCTAATATATATCTTTAAGAAAAAAAAAACAAAAACAACAAAGTACCATGCTGAATTGGAATAGCCTGAGCTACAGAACTTCAATTTGTTCCAGGTTGTTTAAGACCTTGGTTTTCAAAGTCACTAGATAGCCATTGCCTTTTTCATGTGTCAGAGTAAGAATAAGTCATGTCAGTGCAGGGTAATATCAAGCATTATGGATACGAAGAAAGTGTAGTCACTGCTTGCCATAGAAGAATTGAGCCACAGTTACTCATTCTTAGCCTTCTGGGTGTGAAACTGCATACAACAGTTGGAACTTGCATGAACGTATTCCCCTTGACTATAAAAGTGGTGGCGGGCTAGAATGCTCTTTGTGACATGGTGTCTAGAGAATGATCATCAGAAGAGTGTGTGTGTGTGCTGAGTATGGCTGCCTCTTATGAAAATGCATCTATCTTAACTAATGTGTCTCAGGCAGTGGGTTTTCATTAGTTTAAAAATCATAGCTACTTGTGATGCAGTAGCAACTGCGAAATATGCTTGAGCAACTGCTCAACAAAATAATTCTATTGTTTGAGTGAACACTGGGGGGAAGGGAAGGGGGAAGAAGATGAGCCTTGAGTGGAAAATTAGCTGTAGAATGTAGAAATTTTCTGAATCCATTAGGCAAAGCTTCAGCAGCAGCTAATTTTTTAATATGTTTTTGCACCACTGCTGTTTAATAGTCCTAACTGCACTGCCTAATCAGTCAGTGCCTAAAAACTTCTATTTTACATCATGTTGTGACTAATCGTTCTGACACTTGAATAAAAAGTACTATCTGTACAACTGCATAAGCTACCCAAGATAAACTGAAACCGTAGTAAATATCAGGGCAACATGTGTCCAGTAATTTGATTTTTAACTGGTATATCAAGCACAAAAGCAATAGCCAGAGGAAAAAAGAAATGCACAGTACAAGAGGTTACTTCAGTTAAATTAATGCTAAGATTGCTTTAACACTGTTTGAATTTATCTGTGTAGTGGTGATGTATATGAAGTTTTCTAAACCTAAGTATTACATGTGTTTAACAGAATATATAACAGGAATTTTAGATCTTAGATCTGAAATGTGGTTGCATCATTATTTTTTTTCTGGGAGGTGAGCAGCTGAGCTGAAATGCTGAAATATTTTTGTAACTCCAGTGTTGAAAACAAAGCCTAGTGCTGTCCATGAAGAAAAGGCTAATGAAAAACTCCTGGAATAATTATTTCATTATTATTTTATTCATTTATTATTCTAGTCAGTGTGTCAGCCTAGTGTGCAATTTTATATATGATGCTAGTGAGGATAATGTATCTTTGGACTGGTATAGTTGAGTTGCAAATTTGTAGTGCTTGGAGGCTAAAGTGGTTGGAAGAGATGATGATTGAGGCAACTTTCATGATTCTTCTTGGATATAGGGAAGCCTTTTCTGCCTAGGGACAAATACAAACTCAAACTGACTGAATGTTGGGCCTTTTAAGATAAGAGTGTACAGTCCCAACATTATATAGTCCTTTATGTTCCCTGTGAATAAGTAGTTTCTTCTGTGATAACATCTGTTTTCTTGGCTGTGCCGTTCCCTGTAGTTAACAATTGCCTGTATCTCCACAGGGTCTAGTAACCTACCCAGATTTGAGCTCTAATAGACTAGATCTAACTCAAGAGCTTGCATGAAGAAGTTTAAGGCAAGTAACAGGAAACTAGAGCAGATGCTTAATAGAATATTGCAGTCCAATTTTTCTGGAAGTAGAGAGTTCTATCGGGGAGATCAGAGGTTAGCCAGAAACAAGTGTTTCCTGCAATGAAACCACAATGAGCATACTTCAAAAACCATCACTGACATATAAATTGCTCTCCACCAGAAGTCCTTGGTACAGCCTGTAGCATGTGTACAGCCACAAGGCATGCCAGAAAAAAACTAAAGCATTTGTTATCTTTTTTTTGTCTATGTGCAAGAACTAACCTGCAAGATCAAGTGGAAACTGTAACATACTCCACGTCCATACAGCAAGAATTGCATTTATGAGAGCATAATTCTTCCTATGGGAGAGGAAAGAAGTGATAACAGTGAACATGAAGTTTTCTTATGCGATAACAAAAATGTTTCCTGTAGTATTTGGAATATCATTCAAAAGGTAGTTGAGCAAAACAGCGATTGATTACTGGTAAGACTAAGGAAAACAGAGGTACTTTTTGGCATGGAATTTTTTGCTGTTCAGGCTACATGTTCCAGTTGTGTGATTACATTAAATAGCTGATGCTAAGATTATAATGATAAGCATATGGAAATAGATTCTCTGGCTCAAAGAGGAGGTATCTCTTCCCTTGTAGTTATTACACATTCCTTGCAAGCCTGAAGCTTTTCTGCCAAGTGGGAAGGACCTCTTTTCCTGCTTTAAAACCTTTTATTTGATATAAAAAAAAAATATATATATATATATAATAGTACCTATGTAAAAGAGGATGAAACTCTTCTGTGATTCTTTTTCTTTATGATAAATGTTCATAGCTCATCTCTGACTGCTGCGAGAGGGAGATGAGCTTACTTCCTCTGGGGGAGATCACAGTGTTGAAAATTCAAACCAGACTATGCCACTCCCTTTCTTCTTCACCTTTGAACACTTTGTCATTCCATCATGAAGAAAGTACAAATGAGATAATCAAAGAATCGACTTGGATAATGAATCATTAAAGCAAAGTCTAGTTGCTTCCTTGCTAGCCTAGAACAATTCATTAACCTGAAGGAGGCTTACTGTGTATCCAGTGTTTCAGCTCCTGTAGCTGTTAAGAACTGACGCTGCATGGGAGTTATGCTAGTTGTTTGGCTCTTTGTACCCTTTTATTGTGATGGATGATATGTTTCTCTGCTGGCAACAGAAGAATAATCCCTAACACAGCTCTTAGGACTGTTAGGTCCTTTACAGAGGGAGAGGTGAGAGCAGGAAAACACAGCCTTGAATGTAGCCTTCTGTTATCTGTAGGAAATAACAGCTCAACCAGTCTGAACACCGAAGAGTGCACAAACAGATCTTTATACAAAACAAATATCTTGCAATATACAAATTATTAATGTCAGCAAACAATCCTTACCGAACATCTTCAATGTCCAAAGTTTCACTAGCAAATTCAAGTATATCTGCTGCTGTTCCCACAAACATGAGAAGCAGCTGAGACAATTGATCCCGGGTGATTTCAACTCCAATAGGGAGAAGCCATCTCCCAACTACTAGCAGCAGTAGAAAAGTCTGGTGTAGGGCCAGTGTCCATACAGTCTCACAGATTGTGGAGAGCTGATTCACAAAGACTTTAGCCTGTTTAAAAGACAATAAGATACTGTATCTTCAGGAGACTGACATTACAGATACCTTCAGAGACTGTATTCATCCTTAAGCCTGCTTTTGTTCTCCTTCACATTGTATTAGAGCAAATCATTTTTATGTGGCAGGCATAATTTGAAAAAGACATTAATACAAACTTTGGGTAATGAATAGCAAGTCTTTCTTTGAATACTGCTCTTTCTGTTCCCATTTTTCAGCCAGCTGAGCATTACCCTTTGCAGAACTGTGATCCAGACACTTTCTAAATTTCTAAATTTTAAAGTTACTGAGATTTGGAACATAATGGTAGGAGAGTCACCACTTTACACAGAGACTAGCTCTACAGACAGTAGTTAGCATGAAGCACACTTTACATCATTTTCACAGTATGGTTTTCTGAAACTATTCTTTCTTTTTCTTGTTTTTTAGTGTTCTTCACTGCATGAGGAGACTGCTCAAATAAACACAAGTCATCTCTAATTGCTCTTCTTATTGTAAGATCTTAACTAGGAATAGGAAAAGGTGTCCCACCGTTTGAATGATGTGGTGATCTGTTCCCTCACTTCCATGACTGCTGTCTCTGGATTGATTGAAGTCTTGGTTGCTGATATTCACCTGAACTGCTCCAGGCTCATTACCACAGTACTGTTGTGAATAAAAACATCACACATGCATAAACATCCCATACAGGGAGCAGATGCACTCTGTGGCTGAGAGAATCCTGTTTTGCTGAACTGTAGAAGGTTCATTTGTGCAATTCGGCCAGTGTTTGCAAAGGTAGATGCTCACCCTGAATATAATTACCCTCTTGTTCAGAAGGGAGGGATTCCTCTCATGAGGACAGGAGAGATGTTTTGGTAAGTCCTTGAGAAAGTATAGGATTTTACTGCAGAAGAGGATGTAAATTCAAGGACTGATGTAGCGGGTGACATTCCTGTGCTGTTAAGATGGCATTCTTTGAATGCGATCTGCCTGCAGCTCTCCTGATCAGGCTACTGAGTTTCCTACATAGTCTCTGTCTAGATAAAAAACTGAAATAGGGTAAGAATTGATCATGGTCAGTCTGCTGGTTTATGGTCCTGGCCAGTCTCTATATTCAGGCTTAAATCTATCTAGTATATAACTAGTATACATCTTGAATATATCTAATATATATCTAAGCTGCAATGAATAGATAGAGTAGGGGTGGGATATTTGGATTGTATTCTCTGCCCTCCTACACACACCCACGCACCACCACTTCACCCCAAACCCACCTCCCCTCCTCCACACCCCCCTCCCCTCAAAAAATAAGCTGTGCCTTATGCTGCTAGGAGGTTCATGATGTGAGAGGTGAGATACAGGAATAATTAAGAAAAATAGATCTGTGTTGTTGCCTACCCCTGTAGAGTAGAGAAAAAACAGGTATTTTTGCTTTCTCCAAGTACCCAGTGCTCCGGGAAATAGAATGTTCACTAAAACATACTGTTACATCAACTGCAGTAAACCACTAGGTCTGTAGCACTGCACTGCCCTTCTTAGTTCACATGATAGGCTGGCCCTGGAGCAACTGGGGTATGGTTCTAAAATTCTATCTTCATAGCAATCCCTTAACATCTCTTCGCATTGTAATAAGGGATAATTAGAAAATCAAACCATGCTGTTATTAAAGACTTTTATCCTGTCCTATTTGTGCCAGAGAACACATGATTTGCATTTCTCCACTGGGCCCCCCACCATTTTATTGCATGGAGAGTGATTTTATGCAACAATCAGAATGTGTTCTAGTGCATACTGAGTAGCTCTGTTCAGCCTAATGCCTGCCAATATAAAGGCAACATTTTCCAGCAAATGCCACATTCTAGCAAATTTCAGATTCTACTTTGATGCTTTATTTGGTCCCTGATAACGTTGCTCAGTATCTGGGTAAATGCTGCTTCTTGTCACAAATAAGTGGAGCAAATTCCCATCGTCTGAAAAATCTGGTGGAAAAAAAAAAAAGTCAGGCTTTTTTGCTTTTGTAATTGGAGGTAAAGGTGGAATGCTTGCCACCTTTGGATTGTGGGTGTGAAAGCTTTGAAAGATCCTCATACAGATGTAAGCATGGTGATATTTCCATGTGGAAGAGGAAAGTCTAAAGTTCTGGACATGGAAAGAGTGAGATGGAGAGGCTGCTACTCTGCCTGGCTAGAGCCTTGTGGGGCTTATCTCACTTGGTTAGCCCCTTAACCAAAGGAGAGAGACAGAGGATGTTTCAGAAACAAAATTTAACTGATGCTCTGGAGGAGTATCTTTCTCTGTTGCTTGTAGAAAATTCTAAAGCCTATGGAGGCCAGCCCCTGAGATCAAAGTCAGCCTTTCTGAGGAACCCCCACAGGCAGTGTGACACAGTTGGCTGAGGAAACCATAAACTGCATAACTGGCATAACCACCCCAGTTAATATCTACATTGAAACAAATTGTCTGGGTAGAGCAAATGGGTTACTAACTTGTGCTGGAGGAGGAAGGCTAATTCACTTTGGCAGCCTTTGGTCTTCATTTGAGCTCACTCCTCTGCTCCCCTGCCTGGTCTGGCAGAGGTAAGAGAAGTGAGCCATGAACCTGCATTAAACGTTGCATCAGAGTTTGGAGATTTCTTGTTCGTTTTTTAAAGCCCCATTTCTCAGGGATGAATCTGCCAAATTTGAGGCAGGACCCATGTAGGGCAAGCTGTTTGCTGTATGTGTATGTGTATGATGGTGAACATCTCTTCTCAGACACTGTGAGAATTCCCAATAAGTAAATTGGGAGTCTGAAAGACAAGAGTGAAATAAGAGTCTGTAGCACTTTTACTGTGCGGGTTCCAAGGTGCATGTTTGCTGCTTTGCAGATGTCATGGCTCTCCTGTGACAACAACAGAGAGCAGATGGCTCTCACAGTTGGTCTGCGTAACCTCTGCAAAGGGCAGAGGAGCTGACGGAATCACCAACCTGCAGCACTGGACAGAGGGGGAGGAAAGCAGCATGCCACAGTGTACAGGAGGCTTGCAAGGGGCAGGGGGCTTTTCCAGTTGTTTAGTTTTTCCCTTTTCTTTCTCCCCCCTCCCCCCTTCCATCCTAGTGGCACAAAGGTGCGGAGAGTATTTCTTTACGAAAATTAATTCACTTCATCAGTGCCTTTTGCAGGTTCCTTACACGTAACTTTTGCAACTACTCAGGCTGAGCAGGGAGGGGGACAGGGTTACTATTTCAGTGCAAGGCTCCATGAACTCTGACCGAATGGCACTCCTCAGGACCGGGTCTGTATCTCTTCTCAACTGCATGTAGACAGGAAATGGAAAACTGCATCTGCAAAGCCAGTCATTTAAGTAGGCTCCTGATTTTTAATTTAAGTATGTTTGTACCTTGGTTTGGTTTGTTTCTCTCTGAATATTTATTAAGTGGTGATCGTGGTGGTGATTCACTTGGAAGTTTGGAGAAGAGCCTTTACTTTCATTGTGTATATCCATGTAAATAGGACTGCTGGTGCCAGGCATATTTGCCTAGCCAATTACGTATGTGCAGTGACTTAATGGGAATGTGGCAAGGAAAAATGCTAAATTTCACAGGCAGCTGATAAATGTGGTTTACCTAGGTTACTCCTGGGTATCAAGACTGTGTGCATAGCTAAACAAAAATGCCTTTTAAGCATGCAAAAATAAAACAGGAAGAAATTGTACACATTTTGCATAAAACTGTAGCTTGGTTTGCTTCATTTTTTCCTCTGACATGTAGCTTACGTTTGTCTGGTTTATAAAATACCTAATCAAACCAGAAATTCTGTTGCATGACATAGTGTTGTCCTAATATATGGCCTGCAAAGAGCTTGCTGTCAGTGCATGGGGTACACCTGAAACTGAGCTAATTCAGCAAATTTCTGTTTGTGTGTTATTCACTATCCCTTATTCCCAAATATAACCAAGGTTAGCAAAAACTTTTCACAATGGTTCCAGCATTGAAATAGTGACACTGGTACTTGAATACAAAGGCAGAGTACCCTCAATCCTGTTAATATATGGCTGGCAGCCTTAGTATGGCATGGGAGAAGCTAGCCCTTCCCTGAAGCAGGCCCTCTGCCAAGCAACAGGTACCCCTTTCGTTCTCTGTGATTGGCTGGAAAGAGAGTGGCCATCACTATGGCAACATGTGTGATGTCAGAAATTCAAAGCAACCGTGCCTGCTTCATTTTGGTGGTATAGGACAGCTGAAAAGTAAAACAGCAGGAAAAGACTGCTTAAGCTGATTTCCAATTTGAGGAAGATAATAGGTATGGGAGGGAAAAGGTGGAAGATGTAAGATCTCTTCTAGGAGAGTGATATACTAGAATTTTAGCTGATAAGAGAATGTCACCTCAGAATGAGGCTAAGGGAATGGGCACTGACATTTTAAGGAATTAATGAATATTCAAGTTAAGGTACTTAAAAATATAATATTTGCCAAGTATCTATCTTCTAATTGACTGAGAAGCCTATGCTCATTACAGCACAGGTAGTCAGGGAAGCCCTGCAAGAGGTGGTCAGTTATAACTTTCTGTCACAGCGATGTGACAGAGTTGAAAAAGTAACAGGGATTTGTTTATCTGAGATCTCATACTTTCTTAATAATGTTTGGGTTTTTTTTAATGGATCAAATGGTTTTAATTTTCTTGCCGCTATTCTGCAGATGGCAACTTTTTCACTCAATACAGCTCAGTTTACTTTATGGTCTCTCCCAGACATGTATTTCATTCCCAAATACTTTACTGCAAAACAGTAGTTCCTATGCAGACAGTATTTCACTGTTGATATATGAATAGTATTACTTATGTCCAGTTCTGCAGTACTGAGGCAGAATTGCCTCTGTCTTCAGGAAGAGAGGCTGCATATTAGCACAGACCTCAAGTAACAGCACCAACCTAAGCAGCTGATCTTTTCTGTTAAAGATCCAACATGAGATCAAAGTTCTACTGCCTTAAAGACCACAGGCTGTTTTCATAGTACATATATTAAATGTGTGAATTTAGCAACTGCATAATCACCTGTTCTGTTAGTATTTTAATATGGAAATTCCCAGCAATACCTTAGTATCAGGAATAGTACTAGTCTGGGTGCTGTGTTTGAGATTATTAGGAGGGCTGCTGTCCTTCTGGAAGTACTGTTTTTGAATCTGTTATATTGTGTGTTTCCAGAACTGTCTATCCTGTCTCTCCAGGTATAAACTAAGCTGTTAACTTGATATACTCCCTCTTTAATTCAGAGTAGCAGTATATCAATAAGAACAAAGTATGCCATGTTCTAACATCATTTTGGGAAATAAACTGCTGCCTTTGACTACAGAATTAGCCTGTTTCTTGGATGAGATTTAACTATGACAAATGTTCTCAATATCCACATTACCTGTCTGTGACTGTTTAAGGAGATCTGGCAAAACAAGAAGACAATAAATTCCTGCTGCTGTACTTAGAAAAAGCCTCAGGCATTTTCAGTGTAAACACAATTTTGAATATTTGATTATGCTTCTGTGGGTTGTAACAATGTTTCAAAGGAGAAAATGAAGCACTAGGTCTTCTTAGTCTAATTTATGTATTTTTTTTTTTCCTGTTATTTTTGCTCTTGTTTCTCTCAGGCCCTTTTCTGTTGTGGATGTAAGGTACTGCATATGTGCAAATTCTGGGAGAGACAGAATTCCCTTCTCACTACACAGAAGTGCTATAGGGTCTTGAAAGCAGCCTATAAGGAGGTGCCTCACGCAATATAAGCTGCTGAGCTAAACTGGCCCTGTTCTGGCCCTAACTGGCTCCATCAGTCAAAAGAACAATTGACTTAATAATTTTACCATGTGTTTTAGTCCTGAATTCAAATCCAGACACCCAATCTTAGACTACTATGCAGCACAAAGAAAGGCTGTAAACACTGACAGACAAATTACCATGACAGCTATCTGTGGTAGTAATCTGTGAGTATTCTCCTAGATTCAAGGAAACATGAGGCAATTTGAGTTTAAGACCTCTTTCAGTGATACCTGTCTCAATTTTGGCTTGCTTGGATTTGTGATATCTGCCTGTAAGGGCTGTGAAACTCATACTTTATTTTACAAAGGCCTCTAAAGCAATTAAATTCTTTCACCATCCTCATGAAGATTCAGCCTGATAAATTGGGTGTTAAAGGCTGTCTTTCAAACTTCTAGTCCTCTGTTCCCCAGACAAATGCAAATAAATGGTCTCAATTTTAGCTAGGAATGCGCAGTAGTCATAGTCTAGCTGTAGCTGGGTTGGGAGACCCACCATTATAAAATAGAGACATGGCAGATTTCTGTCTGTATGCCCAAATCCAACCCAATTTCAAATTAGTCCATCTTGTCTCATAACAAATACCTGAGTCCCATGATGAATTTCTAGTAGCCATAGTGATGGTACTGTACAAATCAGATATAAAAATATTGCTGGTGAAAACCTGTGGAAAAAAACAGAAGATGGCTTGGTATCATATCACATTGTAAATATCATATACCTATCATTATCTGCATTGAGAAGTATCTTGTGCCTCCTACCATATGGTTTATTAAGAAATAGGGTAACTGCAAATAAGAGTTGATATTCTTTCCAAATTCTTCATTCTATCAGTATTACGAGTCATAGGTTTATTGTACATCCATCTAAGATCACATATGGAAGTTTAAGGTCTCTTGTTAAGAAAAACCAAAGACACTTTGCTGCTTGTATTTCCATCACAGCATTCTCTGTACTTAAAATTAAAAAAACCCTCTAGCTAACATGCTTTTTTTGGTTTCATGAAAGGTGAATTAATACATTGAGTCCCTTCACTGAGTGATGTGTGGATAAAGGCTATTGATGATCAGAACCCTGTGCATTGACACAGTGAAGGTAGAAATAGCATCAGTTTGCCTAAAACAGTAATTTCTTCAGCAGGTCTTTCAGTGCAGGCTAAAATTGCTTATGAAAATGGGTCTTG